CATACATATATATAAATATGTGTGTGTATATATATATATATATATATATATATATATATATATATATATATATATATATATATATATATATATACACATATTTATATATATGTATGTATATATATACGTATATATATATATATATATATATATATATATATATATATATATATATATATATATATATATATATATATATATATATATATATATTTATATATATTCGTATATATATACATACATATATATAATATGTATATATATATGTATATAATATATATATATATATATATATATATATATATATATATGCGTATATATATACATACATATATATAAATATGTATATATATACGCATATATATATATATATATATATATATATATATATATATATATATATATATATATATATATATATATATGTATATATATATATATATATATATATATATATATATATATATATATATATATATATATATATATATATATATGTATATATATATATACTTCACGGAAACCCCGACTGTAGTAGCCCGAGACGGGCGCTGCATAGCTTCCTCCTTTATTTCCTATTCTGTGTCAATACTTTCCTACTTTCCACGTACGTGTGCTAAGGCTTTACAACGTATCTCTATGCCGTGGTTTTTGTCCTATAGATCCTGCTTCATCTTCATCTTCGCCATACAGCAGAATATTAGGTAGTTTGCAGTCTTCCATTCGAGCCACATGGCCTGACCATCTGAGTTGTGCTGTCAGTGTCATACTCTTTTCACTGGCCATCTTTGTGCGCCTGGGTACCACTGTAATTGGTACTATATCCTGCCTTTTGATGTTTAATAACTTTCTTGAATGCTTCATCTGAAAAAAATGTCAGCTTCTTGACATGCCTCTTGTTTAGTGTCGTGATTTCGACAGAGTATAGAAGCGCGGTCAGCACAACTCAGTAGACTTTCGGCTTTGTCGTGATTGTGAAGACCTCAAAACCGTTTGTACTCTGTATTCTATATCTCCGTCGATGTTATTGTCGCTTGTCACGTGACTGCCAAAGTACTAGAAGGATTTGACAGACTTCAGAGTTGTGCCGTCGATCACCTCGTTTCCCTCACTTAGTTTGTAGAGTAGCTCTGTTTCCCTGACGTTTGTCTAGAGACCAAAGTCCTTTGCCGCAAAGGCGAAACGGTTTGAGATAACTTTTACGCCCTCCAGTGAGTGTGCCACAATTGCTGCACCATTAGCATACAACAATTCCCTGATCAGTTCTCCTCTCGTTTTAATGCGTGCTTTTAATTGAGACACACTGAAAAGTTTACCGTTCATCCTTGCGCGTCTGTACACGCCTTATAGCAAGTTTTCTGCCATTTTTCTAAGGCCACGGTCAGAAAAAGCGTGGAAAGTGTAGGAGCAAGTGGATCGCCTTGTTTGACTCCGGTTCCAATTATCAAATCTATATATATATATATATATATATATATATATATATATATATATATATATATATATATATATATATATATATATATATATATATATATATATATATATATATATATATATATATATATATATATATATATATATATATATATATATATATATATATATATATATATATATATATATATATATATATATATATATATATATATATATATATATATATATATATATATATATATATATATATATATATATATATATATATATATATATATATATATATATATATATATATATATATATATATATATATATATATATATATATATATATATATATATATATATATATATATATATATATATATATATATATATATATATATATATATATATATATATATATATATATATATATATATATATATATATATATATATATATATATATATATATATATATATATATATATATATATATATATATATATATATATATATATATATATATATATATATATATATATATATATATATATATATATATATATATATATATATATATATATATATATATATATATATATATATATATATATATATATATATATATATATATATATATATATATATATATATATATATATATATATATATATATATATATATATATATATATATATATATATATATATATATATATATATATATATATATATATATATATATATATATATATATATATATATATATATATATATATATATATATATATATATATATATATATATATATATATATATATATATATATATATATATATATATATATATATATATATATATATATATATATATATATATATATATATATATATATATATATATATATATATATATATATATATATATATATATATATATATATATATATATATATATATATATATATATATATATATATATATATATATATATATATATATATATATATATATATATATATATATATATATATATATATATATATATATATATATATATATATATATATATATATATATATATATATATATATATATATATATATATATATATATATATATATATATATATATATATATATATATATATATATATATATATATATATATATATATATATATATATATATATATATATATATATATATATATATATATATATATATATATATATATATATATATATATATATATATATATATATATATATATATATATATATATATATATATATATATATATATATATATATATATATATATATATATATATATATATATATATATATATATATATATATATATATATATATATATATATATATATATATATATATATATATATATATATATATATATATATATATATATATATATATATATATATATATATATATATATATATATATATATATATATATATATATATATATATATATATATATATATATATATATATATATATATATTTGACTCCGGTTCCAATTACCAAATCTTCACTTAATTGGCCAGATAACGCAGGCTTTGACAATCTTCATATTTTTTCAGGACATCCAAATTTCTCTAAGACCTTCCATAATGAGTCAAAGGCCTTGCGGAAGGCACAGGACACAATGTATAGGTCCTGATGTTTTCAACTGCTTCTCTTGGATCTGCCATAAGCAGAAGATCAAGTAAAAGTTGATCTCTTACTCCTAAAACCGCTCTGGCTTTCTGGTAAGACTATCTTCGAGATCTTTCCTGCAGTCGAGAGCAATGACCTTCCTCTCTAGATTCCGCAAACAGATCTATCACCCTTTTTCTTATAAATAGTAACAATCATGGCTTCCATGAAGTCATGCCACTCTCCCAGCAACGATCTCACAATTTTTTGCATCAGCTGCTGACCTCCATGTTTGAAGATTTCCGCTGGGATGCCATCCAGCCCTTGAGCCTTTCCACATCTCATGCTCTCTGTCGACTCCTGTACCTCCTCAAAGGTGATGGGGTTATCCAACTCATTTACAGTAGGACGCTGCATTAATTGCAACGACGAAATTCGGGTTTGAGTTTTCATGTTGTAGATTTGAAAAGTGTTCCTTCCACCTTTGTAGTATTTCTTTTACTATCCTTGATTATAGTGTTGCTTTTGAGTGGAGTCACAATGCTGTTTATCGGACCATAGATAACTTTTAAGGCGGTACAGAGATCGTTGATGTCTTTCTTTTTTGCCTTTACTTCCGGCTAGTCTGCAAGGTCGTCCCACCATTTTGAGCTCCCAGGAAGTTATCTGCGCTGCACATTTTGCTTTCTTGAATCTTAACTCCGATCTTTGAATCTTTTTGGATAGAAATTGTTTTTTTTTTCTTGATTCTTTCCTCTAGCAAGGCCTGGATCTCGTTTGAGTTCTCAAACCAGCCTGTGGGCGTCCGAGAAAATTCTTCGCTGTTTCATAGGGGTTGAGGTTTTGAGTGTGTTCCACCATTCATTTAGATTTTGGGGGTTATTGTGAGCTGAAACTTGGATTTATTCAATATATGATCCGTTAAACATTCCGGACTGCGCATAATGTTATGGACCTCCTGTTTACCTCCAACATAATCCAATCTCGGGTGCATCATGAGTAGAATAGTAGATCTGACTGTTTAAAGATTGTGTTGGTTATGGTCAGGTCAAATTGAGAACAAAAGTTCAGCAGCAGATCGCTATATCAATTCACTGTTCCCTTTCCAAAATGACCGAGCCGGAGAGAGCCCGATCACCTCCAACTCTTGCATTGAAATCGCCCAAGATGATGTTTAGCATCAGGTGGAACGCTCTCGGTGACTCGTCTGAGGGACGCGTGGAAGCGTGCTTTACTCTCTTCATCGTGTGACGAGTTAGAGCACAGACACAGATGACCGTGACGTGCCTATTATTCTCCAGGGGAATTCTCACTGCTATAATGCGATCAGATATCGCCGATGGACTCCTCCGACTTCTCTTTCTACACCCGACCAAGAGATTTTATGCACACACTTAAAACACATAAAATCTGACAATCGGTGATGTTACTACAACCCAGCTCTTGCGGATGGGGATAGACAACACAACATTGGAATGTCTAGTATGACAAGAAGAGGTGAAAAATCAGGTGAGTGCATATACATGTGTATGTGTATGTGTGTGTGTGTGTGTGTGTGTGTGTGTGTGTGTGTGTGTGTGTGTGTGTGTGTGTGTGTGTGTGTGTGTGTGTGTGTGTGTGTGTGTGTGTGTTTGTGTGTGTGCGCGCGTGTGTGTATCTATATATATTTTAATGTATAAGTATATATATACATATTATTATATATAGATATGTGTGTATGAATGGTGAAAACACTCTACCGTGTTGATATTATGATAGAAAAATCCACAATGTAAAACTAGTTTTACATTGTGTTTTTTCTACCATATGTGTGTATATATCTATAACTATATATCTAATACAGAAAGATAGATACACACAGAAACACACAGACAGACACACACACAGTATATATTAAGCAAGAGCGCCACTTACCCCACCCACTGGAGCCTCCGCCGCCGCCGCCGACCACGCCCCCCACGCGAGGGCTAGGGCGCAGAGCCAGGGGCCCGCAGGGACGCTCTTCCTCAGCATCTGGACGACGAAGCGACGACCCTGAGTGTCAGACGAAGATCACTTTCAGATGCACTGGCAACACCCTCAGACGGAGATGCAACACTCCGGCGGCATGCATATGTGTGCGTGCGTGCGTGTGTGCTTGTGTGTGTGTGTGTGTGTATGTATGTATGTATGTATGTATGTATGTATGTATATATATATATATATATATATATATATATATATATATATATATATATATATTCTTTGTATATATATATGTGCACACACACACACACACACATATATATAAATATATATATACATATACATAATATATATATAAATATATTTATATATATATATATATATATATATATATATATATATATATATATATATGTATATATATATATATATATAAATATATATATATATATATATATATATATATATATATATATATATATATATATATAATGATATATGCATATATGTTATATATGTTTTGGTTTGGGCTTGCTTCGCCTTGCCACACTCGTCCAAAACAATGGCAGCGCTCAGCTTGCATCTAATGTAAACAGACTACTGCAATATGTGACTCATTCCTTCGAGTTATTTACCGATGAGGAAACCTTTTCTCACCTTGTATTATCTGAAGAAGATAAAGGAAATAAAAAAAATAATAATAATAATTTATATATATAGCATAACGTTATGAATAACTAAAAAAAACAAAAATGGAAGAGAGAGGGAGAGGAAGGGAGAGGAAGATGGAGAGAGGGGGAGAGAGAGAGAGAGAGAGAGAGAGAGAGAGAGAGAGAGAGAGAGAGAGAGAGAGAGAGAGAGAGAGAGAGAGAGAGAGAGAGAGAGAGAGAGAGAGAGAGAAAGAGACAAACAGACACAGAATGAAAGAAGAGAATGAGACAGACAGACAGAGTAACTATCTTTCCTCCTCATTCGAATCTGGCGACATATTCATAAGCTGTTCACTATAACCGTCTCTTGATGTTCACTGTGCACCATCGCAAGGAGACTACAGAGCATCTCTCCCATTCCGTTCTTCATCTTTGTTTCAGTCACTGTGGGATTTCTGTTTGCCTGCCTCTCTTGGTTATTTTGCGTTCCTCTCCTTTGTTTTTTCTGTCTGCTTGCTGCTTTCTTACCTTGTTCGTGCTGCCCTTGGAAAGATCGACCTCACAGCGGCCAGGTTGTCGGCAAAGTAACTAGGTAATGACCGCGATCAGGAAAGGTAGATGAGTTATCGTACGTCCGCCACCCAGACAAAATTCATAACAAGTGGAATTCACTGGAAAAAAAACCACTGCAAATGCTCTCATGATGCTCATCTTTATCGCGAGAAGTATTTTGTAAGTGTAAAAAAAGCCATTTGTTTGGTCATACGGCTTCTAAAGTATATATGGAAATGATAAGCTCAAATGAATGAACGACAAGACCCGTACCTGTGACCTCGGGCAGTGCTACCCGCTACGCAGGCACCCCGGGCATGTAAGGTGGGCGTGGGTTCGGGGGCGCTAAGTGCAAGCGGAACACACATAAACACATAACTTTACACTGTCGTACAAACACACTCACAGAATCAGGAAATGAGAACTAGAAAGAACACCCTCTTAAAATTCTACTCGGGTATCCGGAAAGTAATTACTTCTACTTACTAGTATCCTAACAATGACAATCATTGCACTAAAAGAGGAAGGCATGTAAACAGAAAATAAAATTTCGCTTCCTCTTACAGATCGGAGATGGCAACGGAAATCTTCAGCGTTGTGATGACACTCGACTCAGCTCCCGTCGAGTCCCTCTGACGGGGTCTGTCGCTCCTGCTAACGGGACAGTGACCTGTATGGCTGCTCCTTCGCTCCGTGCCTCGCCCGAAACCATGTCACGGGGAAGGGATGCTTATTGTTTACTACTTGTTACTGTTGCTGTTACGGGATGAATCTGAAGGCGAAATTGCAGATGCTAAAGTTGTACGAAGAAATGCATTTTTGTGTTATATATATATATATATATATATATATATATATATATATATATATATATATATATATATATATATATATATTATTCTGAACTATATCGTTTTCTTACTCTATTCTGTTAATCTTAACAAGTGGGATAGATAATTAATCCATTCATTTCTTAACTTTTGGCCTAATTAAAAAGTGAACTAGAACGAATATCTTTTTTAAGGAAAATAAACATTTCAAACAGCGTGTCAGTGGTAAAAAAAGAGAGAGAAAGACAGAAAAACAGACAAGAAACAAGGAAAGCCCACCCGCCCGTCCGCTCCTGGGAAAAGGGGAGGGAACTCGGGGCCTTCGTCGTCCGGCAGCTGCTTTCGGCCAAAAAATGGTTCTGTCGCTTTCTTCACACACACTCACACTCACACACACACACACACACACTCACGCACACGCACACGCACACGCACACGCACACGCACACGCACACGCACACGCACACGCACACACACACATATATATATATATATATAAATATATAATATATATATATATATATATATATATATATTAGATAGATAGATTGATATATATAGACAGATAGATATTATATATATACATCTATATCTATCTATCTATCCCGCGGTTCCCCGGCCCTGACTTCGCGAGGCAACATCCGGCCAGCACGAGTCCTGATGAGCCAAGGTCGTCCGCGGGTGGCCTGGTAGCCTTCGTAGTGCCGCGCGGGGATTTGTTACTTTCTCTGCCCCGCGAACTTTGTTATACCAAGCGGTGCCCTTCTGTGGTTCCGAGGTTTAGAGTGTCGTTTTGGAACCAGGTGTCTGTAATTACGGCAACGTCGACAGTATTTTGTTTCACTGCTATGTCAACGTTAAGTTAACGTTTACAAGGTAAATGCTGGGGTCTTGGTCCGCCGGCGCTTCCGGGGAGACATTTCGGCCAAGCATCCCGCTCAGACGGTGAGGTTTCTATTTCGGAAGAAAAACTCGTCAGCTGCAACTGGAACGGTGAAGTTGGGACTGTTTGAACGAGTGATTTTTCTTTCGAAGGGATTTACATCGTACATTTCGGAGATTTAAAGGATTCTCGAGTAAAGGATTCTCTTTATCTGTTTCCTCCGTGCTTGTGTGCCATTTTTTTTATGCAGAGGAACAGTAGAACACATATGAGTTAGGTGGGTTTTTGGCTTATAGGGAGCTTTGCCTGTACATAATAATTGTCCCGTCTATTGTGTAAGAGACATGTCTGGCAAGTTTTTCCTTTTCTGACCTCTACACTTCCAAGTCATCCCCCTGATGCTGCTCAAAGGCTCAGTTCAGTAACCTGATCCAAATGCATTCTGAGCAGCTGTTGCCTATGGCAGCGCGAGAGATTTTCTGATTGGCTTGGTCTTAACTGTGGTCGACGTAGATGATAGAATATGAATGATAAATGTAAAAAAAGGACTGAGCACATGAACTGTACAAAAATGAAATAATATCCACACTTAACCAAAGCAGATAAAACATAATTGAAATAAGGCCGTATATCTTGACGAAACCATAAACAGGGACGGATGCTTTTCAAGGCGTAGACTCATTGTTTAATTTGGAGTTATAATTAATTGTATATGCATACATACATACATACATATAAATATGTGTGTGTGTATGTACATATATAATCATATATATATATATATATATATATATATATATATATATATATATATATATATATATATATATTTATATA